TCCCCAACTTGCCTCACTTGGTATACTTTAATTGTGATCTGGAGGAACCACTTCCAGTGAAATAGTGTAGCTCAGGAGTGGCCAGTCCATGGCCCACATGCCATGAGTGAGAGGGGCAGGTGCTCAGTAAAGGGAGGTGCTGAAATGGAGGCAGAGGGTTTAAGCCTCCAGAGCATGGAGAAAGGCAGGAAACTTAGGAAAGAGGTGTTAGGTGTCACTGCAGAGAGGAAAGATAACCCTTTTCTGGCCCCTCAGTGACTGCCAGATTCAGGATTTTGGATCCTCGCTGGTCTCATAACTGCAGCAGTTATGGGGCCAGGGAAGAGTTAACCTGCCTCTTGGTTCTGACACCTGCTCTAGCAACAGCATCCTGTCCCTGCTGTTCCACACAGCTAAAGGCTGGATCCCCCCCTGCCTCCATTCTGGTGCTGCAAACTCTTCTCAGGTATGCAGGGGAAAGAGGGGGACGGGGATTGAAATCCACTTAACTTGTGGTGTATATGCCAAAAAGATCAACACCACTGGTGGCCATCCAGTCTTTGAGCTTGTTCTTGATATCTGCTGAAATTGCCAAATTAAGCAAAAATGACTCATAACCCACACATTTTTAAGTTATGCATACACACGGATGTACTTTTTTTGTACATTAAAAAAAGAATGCTTATACAAAATTGGAGTGCCATGACAATAATTAGCTTGCATCCAAGTCACTCTGCCAGCCAATAGTCTTAAGTATTCAAGTACATGCAGTTTCCTTCATCCAACAGACAATAATAATGAAAAACTCCAAAAAGGCTTTTGTTCCCAAATTTTCTTCGTGTTCACCCCAATATCATCAAATAAGTGTGATGTTTTAATTTTTAAGCATGTCTGAAAGGTCCTTGAACTTGAGCTCTTGGATGGTGGAGTGGGAGGAGGTATCTTCTAAACCTCTGACTCAGAAGACCCAGACCTCAGCTTCCTCATATATAATAAGGGGAATCTAACTTGAGTGCCCTTACATAATCATAGCTGTGTTTAGTATCTGACATGGGGGAAGCAGTGTGATCTCTCACAGAGGCAGGTCCCAGACTTTAGGGTTTAATAAATCACAGCACAGCTGACACGAGTACAGCTGGATGTTGTCAGAGATAAGGTTGTAGCCGTGTTAGTCTAATTCTCCTTAATTCTAATATTACAGTCTTTGCATTCTCTTATGCCTGAGGAAGGGTGCATGTGCCTGAAAGCTTAAAAATGAAGTAAGTTTTTTTTGCAACTGTTTAGTTGGTCTAATAAAAGATACCACACTGACTGCTGGATGTTGTCAGCATTCTGGTATTGCTGCCCACTATGAACTAGTGTGTTAAGGACACATACTTTTACACATTAGACAGAATACCACTGTGGAACAAGTGTAGGAAAAAACAATTTGCACAATTACCTATTGCAACCTAAGAGAAAAGAGCATAACACTGCCCACTCTGAAAGTCAACAAGAGAATTAACAGTATCTTATAATTAGTGATATTGAAGACATGGTGGGGAAGTGGAGCAGAGGACATAATCATTTACATATGCATCTTGAAGGGCAATTCATCTTGATTGACCCACAGCAAAATTGATGCTTCACAGGTACTTCAAGTGCAACAATGAGCCTGTACATAGAATCCCAGGAAAAAATTCTTTGTCAGGTAAACCAGTACTCTGGGTTTACTCTATGTGAGCCCCACTGCCTGAAATTTTAGCCAAGAAAATGAGATCAACATTCTCTCCAAGACTTTATCTGCCAATATTGGCACCACCTTGATCCACTTTATCCATTACAAAACTAAGTATCATGTCAGAGCTCCAGCCCTAAAATGCAAGACACTTCAGGCTGTGCCTTTGCTCACAGAAGCATTCCCATTAGTATTTTGGAAAGTTCTGTGCAGGAGAGGAAAAGACAAGGAAGAGAAAAAAGATAGGAGCTTTCTTGCTCTTCTTGTACTGTTTAGGTCTTCTTTTGGGGGGGGTGAGGAGGGGATTGCCCGTGGAATTTGGCAAGAAGAGAGAAATTAATTAAACAAGGCTTCACTTGAATTAGTATTGAACCTACTGCCATGTTTCACTAGTCTCTTATAGCATTTACAAGAATATTTACTGACGAACAGGATTTATTTATTTTTAATTGAAAACAGGGGAGAAAAAGATCAAGAAAATAGTCTCTCCACCTTCCACCTAAGTCTTTCTCCTGGCAGCCTTCCCAGGAAGAAACCCATTCCACATTTCCTTTCCTTCTGTTTCCTGTGGTTCATCAAATTAGGGTGGCTTGATAAATCTTAAACGTGGGTTCACTTTCAGTAATGAAGTCAAAGCATGAAGCATTTTATAAATAACTAGTGCCTCTGTAGGTATTTTTATGGTAGCTCTATCTTATATGAATACTGTACTGCACTGGAGTCTCTTAGTTCTTTTATTATTACCACATGTCAGCATCCTTACAGTCGTGCCATGCCAGATTAGTATAGTTCAGTCACCTGGAATGTTGTTTACCTGCATTTTCCATACAAAAACATCCTTTCAATTTCCTAAGGAGTTCCTGTAATGTATAGATTCTTACAGTTCATGCTGCACTAGTAGAATTGTTAAGTGCATAGTCAGTGTCTTGCAGGTTTTTCTTTACAGGGCCTGTAAGGAACCATGCACACAGGTCAGTGTCACTCTGCATCATACCCAGCAAAAGCTGAGAATGAAGTGCTATATGGGCCAGATTCACCTTGGGCATGTCAGTGGGGAAAAGGAGGCGGCAGCAAGGGAAGGGAAAACCAAATCTGAGTAGGAGTGGAAAAAGGGATAGAAGTTCCCAGGGAGTAGGAAAAAAAGAGTGTAAAATAACCTGTCTGTACCCAGTTGGAGCAGTAAGTAGTACAGATTAGAATAATGTCGTAGCAAATTAAGTCCAGTTATCACATATAAATGTTTTATAAAAAGTTGGCAAGGTTCTTTGGGTAGATGTGATATCTTTTATTAAACCAACTGAGTAGTAGAAAAAAGGTTCTTTGCAAGCATTCGGGCGCAATCACCCTTCTTTTTATAAAAAAAGTTGTTCACCTTTTGAAATATTCTGGTAGTAGACTATTTGGAAATGAACAAATAAAGAATCTTGACAGTTTTCAGCTTCAGTGTAATCCTGCATAGATCTCACCATCACCAGTCTGATTTATGCTAGCCATTGGGTGTTTATATTGAGTCAACTTTATAACGTCCCATTTTCTAATGTACCTTTAACATTATTTTAAGAGGTAATATACCTATCTATTTTAAGAAACAGTGTACCTACAACTTTTTTTTAGGTTAATCCAACCTGTCTCAGTTGCTGTAGTTAAAAGTGTAGTCTTTTAAAGTTATGGATATTTCCTTCTAATTGCAGCTTTCTTGCTATAGTTAAAAGTATAGTCTTAAAAATAAAGAGTATTTTATGTAACAAATAATATAACCAGCAACATATTTCCACCATAGACTGAAAGAGGCGGCCAGGCTAAGGTTGAGGAGGATGACCTTAATCGGGTTTGGTGATGGCAAATTAGAGATTAGATGACACAGAATTGATTTCCAGACATTCCAGTACAGATTTCTCTTTAGGAGGCCAGTATTTTGGTAAGGCTTAATGCTGGGCTGGTTGTTGCTAGACACAACCGAGGCACTTTCAACCTTAAATGTATTGTTTGTGAATAGATTAAAGCAAGTAGCACTTTAACATGGAAATACTAATTCACACATTAGCAGACCCAAACTGTACAGGTACATGTTCGTTGATTTGTACTATGATTTATTAGTGAAGTATTATCTGCACTTCATGTTGTAAATGTAAATGGCAGCAGTTGTTACCCATAAGGAGTTTATCTTTTATGTAGCCAGACATAGCCATTTGTAAAACTTTTAGGCAAAGCACAGGTGTTGGTTTTTATTAGTGTAGTTTGGTAATAAAGTATTGTTTGTCAATCTGAAAACATGACAAAATATTATTTCATGTTGCATAGTCCTTGATAGGTATTGTTCCTTCTGAGTAATTCTTTGTAAATTCTTTATAAATACTGTATTTACCTTTGTTAAATACAGAATGTCTTTTTATACAAGTTAAAAAATGGAAGACGAAATCATAGGATCATAGAAAAGTAGGGCTGGAAGGGACCTTCAGAGGTCACCTAGTCCAGCCTCCCTGCCAGGTTCATCCCTACCCAAACCATCCTATACAAATCAATTGTCCAGTCTGTTAGTAAAACTACACAGTCAACCCTAACACAATCACAAAGTTTAACACCCTAACCTACTAAAGGTAAAACAGGGCAACAATGCTGGCTAATGTTCTGCTGCTGCGACAGTTGTTAAAATACGCTCGAGCAATGCAAGGAAGAGGGCCATGCCCCCCACGCCAAAGGAAGGCAAAACTCCTCAAAGTCTGACCATGGAGTAAAATTCCTCCCTGACCCAAGGTCCAACCCTGAGTGGAGAGTTAAAACACTCTAGCCAGGACCCTCCAGATTTGTTTTAACCAGAAGCTCTAGCCAGGACCCTCCAGATTTGTTTTAAGCACATGCATTGGCACACCCAAGTCAAAATCATCAGCACTAGCTGCAGCCAACACGCAGTGCTTTGAAGGAATGAGGAAAAAAGACCATCCTGACATATGTATCAACAGGAAAGGGAAAAAAATCCTTCCTGGCTATATGTGGCAAACAGCAAAGCCCAGAAGCATAGGGCGTACCCATAATAAAGCACAGGCATAGCTACTCCTAGATCATCCCTGACTAATGCCTGCCCAACCTCTTGAACACCTCCAATGATGGAGAGTTCACAGCTTCCCTAGGCAGTCTATTCCATTGCCGCACAGTTCTAACAGTGATGAAGTTTTTCCTGATTGCTGCAACTTCAAGCCATTGGTCTGTGTTTTCTCTGTGCAGCAAGAAAGAGATGGTATTTACCTGAATCCAAGACAACTTCAAATTTAAGATAGCCCCTTCCCCAATAATTAGAATCTATACGTGGACAATTTATTAATTTGTCGTAATTTTTTCATAATTAAAATCCAGTTACGGGGGGGGGGGGTTGTCTTAAAGTGTAATACCTTGCATTTGTCAGCATTAAACTTCAAGCTTCAGCCCAGTTTTGCAAGCTGTTAAGATCCTTCTGAATTGTGCTCCTGTCCTTCAGCATGTTCACAGTCCTTCCTAGTTCTGTGTTGTCTGCAGTTTTGCTCAAGAAGCTTCCTATGCCAGCATCCACATTATTAATACAGTAAACATGGTGAACAGCACTGGCCCAGGATGGACTCTTGGGGGACTCCATTCAAAAACTCCTGCCATTCTGACATGGATTGATTTATAATTTTGCTCGTGGCTACAGAGCCAGTTGTCAATCCACCATATAGTAGTTTTTTTCAGCCTACATTTCTTCACTTTGTTTGAAAAGATCACATGGAACCATATCAAAAGCCATCCAGATGCACTATATCACAGCATTCCCTTCTCCCACCCAACTAGCTATCTTGTTGAAGAAAGAAAGCAAATTTATTTGGAATGATTTCATCATAAATCCATGCTGGCTGCTTGTGAACAGCCTTTCCTCCTCCAAATGCTTGAAAATGGATTTTCTTAGGATATAGTCTAGTAACTTCCCAGGTATTGACATGAGGTTAACTGGTCTGCAGTTCCCCATATCCTCTTTGTTGCCTTTTTTTTTTTAAAGAGGGACACTACATTGGCCTTTTTCCAGTCTTCTGGTACCTCGCCCATCTCCCATGACTTCATGAAGATCACTGCCAAGGGTTCAGAGATGTTGTCTGCCCGTTCCTGTAGTACCCTGGCATAAAGTTCATTAGGCCCTACTGACTTGAATTCATTCAGACCCATTACGAGCTCTCTAGTTTTTTTGTTATCTCACCCCTTCCTTATCCAAGTAGTCTTTATTAGGTGTCTGGTGGCAGGTTAACAGCAAAGTAACTGTCAAGTAGCTCTGTCTCCCTTGCAGCTTCTGTTAGAGTTCTCCATGCCAGCTATTTAACAGTGAACCTGCAATTTTCTGGGCCTTTTTTTCTGGTTAACATGCTTATAAAACCTCTCATTGTTGTCTTTAACTTCCCTCACAGCTCATTTTTACGCCCCCCCCCCCCCCCCCTTTGCCTTCCTGATTTTGTTCCTGCAAGTTCTTGCTGTTTCCTGGTATACTTCCTTAATGACCTATCCACCTTTCCATTGCCCATATGCTTTCCTTTTGCATTTGAGGCATCCAAGAAGCTCCTCATGCAGCCACATTGGTCTCTTGCCATTATTCTTATACTTCCATCGTATCAGAACAGTTTCTTGTTGGGCTGCCAATAGTGTGCCCTTTAGAAGCTTCCAGCCCTCTTGGGTGCCTTATCCTTCAATCTGTCTTCCCATGGCACCATGCCCATTAACTCCTTGTGTCAGTTGAAATCTGCCTTTTTGAAGTCTAGCAGCTTAGTTCGGCTGACCTCATACTTTCCCCATCTCAGGTTCACGAATCCTAGTCTGGTTGATGCAAAGCCAGGCAACCCAGCCTGGCAAGGGTGGCATACCACTCCTGCCCCGCTTCACCATTACCTCCAGTCTCTTCATGGAACCCCAGGGTTCTGCAAAACAGTTTGAAAACCACTGAGCTGAGGGATTGGTGAGCCTTGGCAGTCTTTCTGCACATCCCAAATATAGGCTGTCAGCAGACAGCACACCTCCCGGGACCCCAAATCCTTGCCTCAGCATTCTTTACATTTTATAACCACAGATTTTCCCCTTCTGGTAGAAGGCTTGGAAAGAAACAAACTGTGGTCACGTCTACACAAGACGCTTACTGGACGGTAGCCTAATAATACCGTGCAGTAGTGAGACTGTCAAAAACCATGCTAACAGCGTTATTAGGCTACTGCACAGTAAGTGTTACAAAAAAATGTGCTGGCGCTACTACACAGTAAATGTAGTTACTGTGTATTCAGTCATTAAGAAAGTACTAAACTAAATACACAGTAACTACAGCACATTAATGAATGTTAGGACATGCTCAGGGTAAGTTACAAAAGTCTCAAAAAGCTCTAGGAGATCAACTGCATTTACTCAAAAGCATTCAGCCAAAGCAAAGGACAGCCATGCAACACTACTGTGCTTATTGGTTCTGTACACAGATGCCCTTATGGTTTGATTTTTTTCATGCAAATTGTCATGCTCCAGTGTGTTTAGAGGCCTGGCTTCCTGCTTTATCAATTCATAGATAAGTGAGTGCACATGGGGGTTCACATCCTTCCTCAAAAGAGGGAGCAGCAGAAACAGTGTCTAACATCACAACATTCTCTATGGTATTTTTCTCCAGTATTTTCTACACAAGAGGAAGATGGGGCCCTGCTTATTTCCTTCATTCTTGCCCAAACTTTCCTTCACACTTGCAGCTGAACTTGAGAGTTCTCTACTGGAACATAGCAGCCATATGCTTTGTAGTTCTGAGATGCCCTAGGGTCTTTTCCACCACTTTTACATTTCAAAAGCCATGAAATGCTTTTTATTAAACTACTTTAAGACGTTTGCTTCGATGAAAACCTTTATATATAAATGCAAAGAATGATTACTGAAGGATTTGGATATACCTCAGGATCTCCTCTGAAGTTACAGGAAGCATTAAAAAATATGTGCCTTATGTATTAGCACTTCTGAACAGATTCAGCCGGTGCCTTTTTTTTTTGACTGTCATTGGACCTCCAAGGAGGAATCACGGCAGTCCCAGTAAACAGGATCCTGGGCTTAAAGCCAAAAGGTATCAGCTGTTACAGCTCAAAAGGAAGCCAGGTCCCCCAGAATAAAACACAGCCCAATCACTTGATCCAGGGTTGCATGTCTGTTTATTTAGTGATATACTGGTCACTAGTTTAATAGAAAGATGTCTAGTTGCAGGGGAAAATGCACAAGATGTACATTCCTATCCAAGACAAGATAATTGGAAACAATGTATAAAGACCCCCTATGTAAACTAGTATTTATATGTATTATAAGGATAGCTATAAGGTTAAATGGGCCTGCGTATCAAGAACTCTGAAGAAAGGTTACATAAGCATGAACTTAGCGTAGTCTGGGGGAGTTTAATACCTTTTCACATCATTGATTTACACTCATATACGTATTTGAAAGATTTTATCAAATGACAAATGTAATAAAACTGTAGCAAATGAGCTTCATGCTTTTAGTTCTGAACAGTAATCTGGGTGGCAGGTTTGTGACAGAAAGTATAACTCATTCTGCTGCATGTAAACAACTGCCCGTCTGAATAAAGACTTGCAGGATTAGACTGTCTACGAGGTGCCTGCGTACAATAGGTATTATGCAGGTATAGGTAGAAAGGTAATCTTACTCACCTAATCACAGTGTGGTGCCACTGATTAAAATGCTATCCCACAAGGATGTTTTTCAAGAATGTACAGACAAGAACTCATGGTATTAAATGCATTGGAGGGGATGGCAGACTAAACTGAAAGTCTAGTTAGGGCATAAGAGCAAGCTAAAGTAACCTGTAATCAACAGAACTGAAATTATCACTGGAGCTATCTAGTGTAACAGGCACCATAGATAAGACTGAAGTGTTTGGAAATGACAGTTCCATTCTGATAGTCTCCTCTCCAGTTCTCATAATTTTTTCTAATATTTCTTTCAGACTGAAATTTTCCATCATTGATCTCAATCTAAAGGTGAGAGGTTTTCGGAAAGCTGAACAAAACCAGATGAACTGTTTGAGTTTTGACTGGGGAGGAGAGAGAAACAATATACTTCTGATATATTCAAATGGGACTTTTGTTTGCCTGTCTCTAAACAGCTGATTCTACAAGATTCAAACTTATTTATAAACATGTAAAATGTCATATATGTGCATTATAATTTTTTAAATAAGTTAACACATTTTAAAAGACAGATTTGTTAAGGTTATGTCTTCATTGGCCAGTGGCAAGCTAAATAGCTTTCTTTCACAAAATTTACAGTACCACTACTGAATTAAGGATGACTGTTAGAACTCTGGGAAGTCTCTCCCAACAAAATTATTAAGGAAAGTATATTTATTTAGATCTGCTAGGGTTACATGACCCATTTTCTGCACCCTTTCATGTGTTTACATAACTGTGTCTAGTTTTAAAGGTTATGTACTATTAACTCCCTCAAGTTTTTTTGAGAGCCACTAAGCATGCTAATTTTTATTTTGTTTTTCCAGCCGGTGGCTCCACCTCCAGATTTAAGTAACAGACTGCTGTCCTCTGATCACAAACAGCAAACTACTGCTGGTTTCACTTTCCTAGGCATTGTAATCCAATATCCAGTTTTGTAGCTGAGACAGTAATGCTGGTTTTTGTGATTTATAAACTGATGTTCAGTCCTATTATGACAACATCCACCAACACAACAGGTCAGGGCAAGAACTATGAAGAAAATGCTCCTCAGGGCAAGGTAGGGACAACTCTCTTTAATCAAAATAAAACTACAAAGAACCCACAGAAGATGAACACCGACTCAGGTGTTAACTAGTCTATTCCTAAGCAGCTTTCTTTCCCTGAGGAAGGCCTGGAAAGTCCCTCACATTTGTTGCCAACCTTGCAAACTACTTTGCCTTCCAAAAACAAGAGAGAGTTAGGACAGACAGTTAAGCTCAGTTTTCCTTTAACCTCAAGGAAAGCTACTGGTTCCCAGAGTTTTACAGGCAGGCATTAACTCTTAGGCATCTGTTTCTCCAGGCAGAACACTGTAAGATCCTTCTTTAAACATACCTCCCTCTTCATCATTTCTTCTAGGTGAAATATTTCTGGCAGATGTTATACTGCTGGCTTGCATTAATATGGTTGCATTAATCCCATCTATTCTGCTCCATTGTGCAGTTTGTAAACACTTATCCCATTGGCTGACTCTGAAATGAGCCCTCACCCTCTGAGTATAGATGTAGTATACCCAGCACCGTACCTAGACTCCTGGCGGCCCCAGGCAAACTTTTAGTATCGGGCCCTCCTTCGCCAGAGATGATGATAATAATAATTGGTCAATGGAAAAAAAATTACCATTTTTGGGCCCCTTTTCTTTCCGGTCCCCGGGCAGCTGCCCAATTCGCCCATGCCCATGTCCAGCTCTGGGTATACCATTAATAACATTTCAGAATGGATGAAGTTCTTTGAGGCAGTGACAGCAGTAAGATGATAAGTAATGAATGGGGTCAATTGCATTGTGCTCTATGACCAAGGCTATATTTATACATTTACTGCTTTTTACTAATAATGGAGTTCTTTAAACATGCCTTTGTTAAAGCTAATAATAAAAAAATATTGAGTGCTTATTTTAATGGAGAAAAGACTTAATTGTGGAAATCAAGTTACATTTTCTTAAACTTGTCTCCTTTATGCTAGTCGGGCAGCTAGCTGCCAGCATGCTAGTATCAGCAAGAGCCCAACATAGTAAATTAATAAAAGTTTAAACAATTTAAAATGTTAAAATATTTTGTGATGGGACAAGCATTTAATGTATTTATTTGTTTCTCCCTTTTACCTCCACATTGTACACAGAGTTCATTAAATGAAAGAACAATTTACATTCACTTTTTCAACTTGACTGCCTTCTGGACTTGTTCAAACAACCAGAAAAGGTCCACTGTGGCCTGCTGATGTCTGATCCATAGTACTATCACATACAGAACCATTATCTGAAACCTCCCCACACACACAATTTAGTGGTCTTTGGGTCCATTTGGGTAAGACAACAATCTAAACATAGTAATTGTAAGTACCAAGTCATTAGAAAAATTTGTAATCCTTTTTCATTAGTTTGGGTTTTTTTCAATAGCAGTAAAATAAGACTGATATAATATTGTACATATAAAAGCTGCTTTCACTTTGAAAAATCTCAGAGTTCTTTAAAATAACATTTGATGCAGAACTGTGGATATATTATAGCAGAAGTGCCTGGATTAACCCTTTGCTGAATTCCTGGGAAGAAAGGCACTTATTTCCTATAAGATGATTATTGGGCTTCTTTTCAATACCATATCAGGCATACGTTTGATATTGTGGACTTTTTTGACAGAAACACAGACTTTAATTTTGATTCACAGTAAATAAGCCCATAATATAATCTTTCAACTGTATGCCAAATAAGACTAAAATGTCTAAGATTCTTATATAAGCACTGTGGGAAGGGAGGTAGACTCTGAAATGCAAAGTGTTTTCCATCATTAATTATCATCCAAAAATTGCTTCACACATTCTGTTTGTCTATTTATGTAAATTACTAAGTTCAGATGTCAGTGTGTGGGCTGCAAACACGCAAAGTGGCTATTAGAGAAGCCAGTTACTCCCAAAATGTGAGGTACTTTCCTTCTCCTCCACAAAAATTACATGACAGAACCAAACAGGAACAAAACACGCACATCCTTTGCAACATTTTCTTTGTAAAGCTAGTCTGTTTGGTCATGCGCAGAAAACAGCCAAGCAGTGAGACTGAGATTGTATTGACAAGAACAAGATGAATGACCCCCTGGAGACTATGGGGTTTGTATGCTAGTTTCCACCACCTTTTCATCCTTTTGTACCCCCTTTCAATTCACATGCAGATTAACTCAGACCAAGTCCCTACTAAATACTCTTTTTCACTTTAGTATGGAAGGTAGACGGGAGGATCTAAATATTTATGAGCCTTTTTTTCCCCTGGTTTATGATGCGCTCTTGTTGAATGTTGAGGAATTACGTTAATGAATGCATGCCTGCACACACAGACACAGAAACCAGGCAAAGGAAAAAAAACACACAAAGCTTTGTCAGCTCTAATGTCGGCACTTACCAAACAGTTCCCATGAAAAAAAAAAGAGGCAAAGAGATTTAAAATCTGTTGCCAGGAGAAAAATAAATTGTACGGCTGAGCACAAAAGAGAGAACAAAGTTTCATCTTTGCTTTCCTTAGCTGCAAATATAGCTCTTGTTTCAACTTGGAACAAGTATGAAATAAAACATATTAATTGAAAAATGAAACTTTGTAAAAGTGCATTAGCTGATATTACATGTTCAGAAAAGAACCAAAGATGAAACTACAGTATTGAATGACACGATGGGTTTTTTTTGTGTGCGAGATACAGTTCACAGGTACCATCATTTGGTTTGTTTTGCACATCAGGTGATTCTCTACCATTGTTTCCACTATAACTTTGATTACTTATGTCTAAGGAAAAAAACCCATTTAGTTTGGTTTGTTGGTTGGGAGCTTTTTCCCCTTTTATTTGTGATATGAGTGCATCTTCTGGAAATTAAGCTGTAGGTTTTTTGTGGGGGGGGTGTTGGTGTTTGGTTTTTTTTTTAAAGAAACTAGGTTAGAATATATTTAAGGTTTTAGCTAGCTGTACTTGAGTGTATCTCTTTTAAATATGAGTAATACAAAACTGTAAATTAAGGATTATTTATGCTTTCTATATAAATGGAATATATTAAATTAAAATGGTAGAACTAAAATATGGATATAAACTGTTTTAATATAATATTGTTGAGAAAAGTCGTATTTTCATCTTACCTCTACCCTTCCCTGCCCTTTTATAAGTCTCTAGTGCATACATAGCTGTAACAGACAAGGCGCTGCTCATAAAAGTGGGACAGTAATTCTACAGTTTCCTTTCATAATCGTGCAGCAGGACATGAGTTTTTAAAATGTGCTTTTGTGCTATCATTTAAAAAACTCATTCAGGCAATGCCAGGATGTTAACTTGTAGCTCTTAAATTTCAGTAGGATTTCACTATCTAGGCTCCATTATTTATATTTATAATTTGTCTATCTGGATTTCATATAGCGTTACCCTAATAAATATGTTCATGTTTTTATTGTAGTTTATTTTCAAGATGTTCAGTTTCATATGCAATTTAATCCAATAAGGGCATCTACATTTCATTTATTCTAAAGCTATCATTCACATCCTCTCCAAATATCAACATTGCTATTTGCAGTGACTTTGCCTGTGCTCTCTATGGGTTACACTAAGCAAAACTTCAGCTCAACAGGTCCAAGACACAAAAGTCCTCTAAAACCTAATCCAAATTCACTACTTACTAAATAAAATGCCTTACTGTGCAAAATCCTTGATCTGCTCTTTCATTCCATATTTTAAAATCCCTTTTAATCTTTCTGTCTTTATAAAAGGTACATTACCATTAGTGACCATGAGTAATATTTTTTTTAAAGCTACCAAAATCCTTAAGTTACTTTAAAAAGGCAAGTGCTCGGCTCCAGTCCCTGCCTCCAACACTGTTATGTATCATCCAGTGACTGCAAAATGCATAAGCAATCCCTGGAAGCAGAGATCAGAATTTAGGACTTCCCTCTCCCATGGGAGTGTCCTCATCACTAGACTACTGAGTCATGCTCCCTCTTCTAACTTTCTCTCCTATGAATGTATATTGTTGGCCATGTACAATGGCACAGCTTCAGTAGCAAGGGTGGAGAGTGCCCACATCCTACCCTATAATATGCAGATTATGGTATTGTTCTGGAAAGTGGGAGCTCTGGGTTTGAATCTACTCTGTACTGAGGAAGGAATTGAATCTGAGTCTTTGACTTCACCCACCTTACAGTAAACGGTGGGTGAAAGCAGTTTGTGGCTTGCTCATTTGAACTTAAGTACCTGCGTTCAAGTTAAGTTGTGCTTCAGGCACATAGGTCCTTCTCTGGATTTGGCCCAATG